TCTTTCTTTCTTTCTTTCTTTCTTTCTTTCTTTCTTTCTTTCTCGTCCGGTCGCTTTCCTTCTATCTTCTTTGTCTTTCTCTTTCTCATATCATATCAACGTTGTTCTACTCTTAACTATGCACAAAAAATAGTGCCAATGTAATTGTAAAATTATATATATTATACATACATACATACATATATGTATACATACATATATGTATATCTTTATGAGGAGATATTTGTATGCCGTTATATATGTATACACTACTGTCCAGAAGTTTGGAAGCAGTCATATTTTTGTGTGAAATAAAAGATCGTTTGTAAATATTATAAAAGCAACCGGATATAATAAATGTTTATTGACATTGACGACTACTTTAGACCAGAACACCAACTGTTTATGCCTATGTCTAATAAATTCTTGCTATTATCTACTTGCGATTGAATATTTACTTTGTTTTGGTCACGTTTAATTTACAGAAATATGATATTTATTCTCAATTCCGATATCTAACCATTGTATTCTAATTAAATAGGATTTTAATAGTTTTATTCAAGCATTCATAGACGCAAGTTACAATTTCTGAGCTCAGTGCGCCTTAAAGTTATCAGTTGGTTGATTTAACTGAATTTTTTTATTTAATATAATGTAATTATAGGCACAGAAAGTTGGTGTTCTAACTTAAAGTAGTCGTCAATGTCAACAAACATTTATTATAAGCGGTTGCTTTCATAATATTTACAAACGATCTTTTATTACACAAAAATATGACTGCTTCCAAAATTCTGGACGGTAGTATGTATATATATAAAATCGATTATAGATAAGTTATCTATCACACACATGGGCTCACATTTAACAACGTGCCTATAGCTTAAAAACCTTGAAGTCATCTAAAATCTTTGTAGCTTATCGATTTTTTTATTTTCGTTAATCTTTTTGCTTTTGTATATATATGTTATTACAGTGTATTTTTCTCTATATATGTATGTGTGTGTGCATTAATGGCGTAGTCGCGTACATATTGTAAAAGACTGATTTGTTTTCAATTTGTTTTATTTAAAAAGTCGTCCCATCGAGTTGTCGTACGCTTAATGCTAAACGTGGCTGTCTCTGATTGAATTAAATTCAATTAAGTAATAATATGTAACAATTATAATAAGAGGATAAGCTTACGGATTGTAAGAGAAGAGTAATGAGTTGATAATATTCATTTAATTAATTTAATTAAAGATTAACATTCTCTCTCTCTTTGTTCCCAAGACAGTCTCATTTAGCAATAAATGTGCATGCGTAATCACGACTGTCGCACGAACTGTAACGATATTACTTCCGTGTAGGAGGTTCAATTGTACAAATCGATAGTCGTGTCGTGATCTTTTCCGCGTGACGCGCAAGAATAGACTCGTCAAAAGTAATTTCGAGACGATTCGTGCGTTATGCCTGTCATGGCAGTTTCTACTAACGTTGATTAATAAGATCTGAGTCTTTGTTTGAGTTTAAATTCAAGTTAAGGTTTAACAGTAGAATGTTCAGGAACGACAACGCCCTTTGAACACCCGAAAGAGTCATTTCGACTTGCGATTCTAATATTTTAAGATTCTCTCTGTTATTCATTACTCGTATCAATGATTACTTTTGAACATGCTGAAAAAATACAAATATAGACATTTTATATATTGTAAACAAATTATCACAACACTTAGAATTTTTCCAAATTTATAATTTCCTACAGTAAAATGCATCACAATTATCAAATGCGGTATGTAAATTACTATAGAAATAGTAAATTTGACAATCTTTTAACATACGATATAAAGAATATTCGAATAATTAACATAATTTTAATAATAATTTTAAAATTTTAGTAAAAAGCCAAACGTGTGCATTTTTTTTCTAAAATATTCACAATAAAGGGGATGTCAATAACTAGGTGTTTTGCCCTGATATTAATCGACGTTAATAGAAACGTGCATTAGTGGGACGTTTTTGAGCATTAGATTGTTCAGTAGCCGCCGACATATCAATTCTCCTCTGCGTTTCAACAGTTACGCGACTAACGCGTGGTATTGCAAGAATTGCCCTGCATACCATAGTCGAACGTATTCCACGAGAGAAAAGTAGAAAAAGAGATGGCCGTCGTGTCAGAATGATTACTATTGTCGCGAGCAATCGCGGACAGTAGCCGCATCTCGTTAAAACGTCGTTAAAAAATGAAGAGAAATATATATATGTATATTGCAACTACTGTGGCTGTGTGAGAAACAAATTTTTACTCAACTACTCTAATCAATCCCATATACTATATCGATCGTGTCAGTCGGACTGACATTTCTCTCACTCTTCGCTCTACTCGTAAGCTCATGTCTTTCTGCTCTACTCGTAAGCTCATGTCTTTCTGCTCTACTCGTAAGCTCATGTCTTTCTGCTCTACTCGTAAGCTCACATCTTTTTGCTCTACTCGTAAGCTTTTAACTTCTCATTCTCGTCACACGAATCCTTTCCTCGGTGTCTGCTTCGAGACCATTTCGAGCAGCTATCTCGAATAACGATCAATCTCGCGATTATGGATGTCATCTTGATTTTCTCTCTTCAATCATTGAAGCTACGAAGTGTTCGGTGTTGCCGTCGTGAAACTTATGATTTGGCGATCCTATTGTCGCGTTGAACGTTTTGTGATTTGTATGAAAAGGAAAGGAGAAATACCAACTAATTAATTAAATCAATTACTCCAGATAGACATATATTTCGGCATATTGCCGGAATAATGACTGAATTGTAAATCGAAAATTATAGTGCAAGTACACAAAAATGCGTCCTCATACAAGAAGAATTTTGTCAGGTTGTCTCAAACAAGGCGTTTGATGTCACGAAAATTGCGCTAATATCGGAACAACGTTCTGCTGCTGCTGTGAATTGTTGCTTATTTTCTGACAAAAGAACGCAATTAATCAAGCGTAATAATCAGAATTAAACGTTTTAACTCCAAATATGGCGTAATGAAACGTCATTTCTTGAAATAATAATATTTTAAACATGTGCTGGTTGTAATAGCAAAGTATATATTAAATGTTTGCATCTGTGTCTATCTGGGGTCGCGAAAACGACATTCACATTCGCGAGTCGATTAAGGAAGATTGGAAGATGGAACTTAGCAAATTCTCGACTGAAAAACGAACGACAGAAGTATTCCAGATTTAACGTGTCTAACAATATGTTGTCGCTTCTACGCATATACATATATACTTTATGTGTATGCTATTTGTCTACGAGTATCCATGCTTTAACGAACAAGAAAGAAAAAGGAAGAGAGAGAGAGAGAGAGAGAGAGAATACACTCGCGTATTCGCACCTTACGTATGAGATTTGTCTCTTAATTTCCTGTTTTTCGAGTATGCAAAAATCTTCGTAGCTCTGAGCGCAGTCATTGTGATCGCTATATTATTAAGTATGCAAGTTTTTCATCATTAATTTACACTACACACAGGGGTGCGTTTTAAGGGAGAGAAACACCTTTGCCGCGCGCATAGAAAACTTAAATTCGAAACACTGTAACTTTGCCTTTAAATATTTTCCATGAAATATTCATAAATTGTCATAAATATTCTATTGTAATATTCTACTGTGAATATCTAATGTATAAACTCATACAAATTATATTTGTATGAGTTTACATTAGGTGTCAATAAAAATGTTGCTCGAATTAGGAAATAAAAAAGCGAATAATGGCAGAACAGCAGCCATTTCTGTAAAAGTTCCGCTTCTTTCATAGGCCTGATAAACTCTTGTAAAAATTGCTGAATGGAAAAAAAGAGATATACTCTTAATGTGCAATAAGTAAATTCGTTAGTTGCGCGCTAGCATAGCCGATTTTTCAAATAATTTTTCAAACCCAAAAATTATCAAAAAGAACGTTTTTAAGAAAAAGCGCTTCTTCTTAAAATAAACTTTGACAGACTAGTGCGGTCACAATTTTTGGAAAAAATTGGCAATCGGCTTGGTAAAGGCGTCTTATCCCCCCCTCCCCCCCAACGGCGGACGAACTGCGAGTAATTTGCGAAGCGCGAGTGTCTTATGAGGTTTTATATTTTTTCGCGCACGTTTGCATGGTGAATACTGCAAAATTCAAATAGCGGAACGTAGACAGACGAACGTCCGGCGATAGAGGAACGTTCGTTAAACAACAAAGGCATTCACTGATCGGATAAAACGAGTATTTGTTAAGTCTGAAAGTTGAAACTCTTTTTTATTATATCGTAGGATAAAGGTTGCAATGTAACGGTCGCCATGGGCTGCGAACTATTAAAGTTGCGCGGGAGACGTCCCTTCGTCTTCGAAAGACGCACGTTTCTTGTTGGTATCAGAGAAAGGAGGAACTTACTTTATAAAGTAAAAGCCGTAAAAATCATTTATTTAGCGTGTTACGTGTATAATGTTGTACTGAAAGAAAAAAATATCTAAGAAATAAAAAAAGAAGAAATATTCGGTATAGATACTGATAACATATTTATTTTCTCTCTTTTGTATTAATATACATATTTTTATGTTGAGAAGCGCTTCATTTTTCAAATACAAAATTTACATTTTCCTAAAATCATTGTTTCTTATGAAAGCAATTATTTACTCTATTTAAGCCAGAGAATTTAGGATTAAGTAAATATATTACTAGTACTTACCGAATAAATATTTTTCATTCTTTAGATATTCTTTCTCTCTCAGTGTATGTAAGAAATAATGTAAATTTTTCTATGACGTCTGTTTTGTAGAAGTCTTCGCGAAGTGTTTAGCGAATAAAAAATAGCATAGTTTTATACTTTGCGCTTAGTTACATACGCACACATACACACACACACACACACACATACATATATATTTATCGTTGCTTTTTACGTATTCTATGCCATTAATACAGAGTTGCGGAAGTGCGTGTTGGCACTTTCGCAACTCTTCTTTTATTCAAGTATTTCATTTGTTGAAGTTGCTTGTTTATTATATTCAGTGATTATATATATAGTATTGATATATTAAAACTCTAAGAATATGATTAGCGAAGAAAGAGTGAATATTTAATTTTCTCATTTCGAGTCGATATCGAGAAGCCAGTTAAGAGCATTAGAAAATTCACACTACAGAAAGATACGAACGTTATTAATGCGTATAACTGCAAGCATACAAGACGCGATTCTAAATGTATCGTTGAATATTATTCGTTAATTAGATTAACGTTTCTACAGAATTGTCCGATGTGCGCCCGTGGCGACCGTTTAATTTTAAATTTAGTCTCTCATTAGAGTATGTAATTGAAAGTCCTCGCGCGTGGAAAATCCATCGAGTCATTCACATAAGCAAGTTGCCAAGATCGGTGATATAAAATACGATGAAACTGTTAAACAGTTAAAAAAAAAAAGAGACAAAAAGATAAAAAAAGGAAAAAGAGAAAACAAATCTATAGACGACACGTAGTCCCCTCGTGGTTTGCAAGCGATAAATTGACATGACAATTGCAAACGCACAATACGCTATTCCGGGATAATAACATTTGTTGAATAGTCTATTGCGCAACACGATTGTGTAATGTGTATAATTCCAGGAATATATAATATTAATTGTAATCAAGTGTACATTACGTAATTATATATGAGAGGCTGTATAAATATTTCTAAATACATAAATATATATATATTATGAAATATTTTCCCGAAATCCACACACTTCTGCTTCTTGCACAACCCTCTTCATGCATTTAGTTTAATGTGTGCAACATTTATATTTCTCGGATATTCATTATATTAAAATTTATTCTTAGAGTATAGTAAACATTACTCGCGCGCGCCGAAGCATATACTACGTGTATGCTTTAGCATTACGGTTCTTTAACGAATTCATAATATTTGCTACAAGAAACCAAACTTCCTTTATTTTTTTAGACATCTTCAATTTCTACATTGTATTTATATGCGTAAAGATATATATATGCTTACAGAAAAAAAAGGAAGTAATTATTGATAATAATGATTATAATTATCACGATGCTGCTCAAACCTGACAGAAATATCGCTACGTTTCTTTGGAGTAAAATTTTTGTATCTTTCGTCATGGTTAAGCTGTAATTACATTGTTACATGTTTTATTATTTCATTTTAACATAATATACTTAAATTATTAAACGAAAAGAAAGCCATTTTCTACATACTTCTGTAGATGCGTTCGTGATCCTTGTTTTCGCACTGAATACGATAGTTTTTTGAAGGGATAATTGCGGATAATTCTTCGGAGTCTTAGTTACTTCTTTTTTATTAGCAGCAGCACTTAATTTGTCATCTTTCAAGTGCAATTGATTTCTTAGTAACGGTTCCCCTTTATTGTCGCGTGCCTTCTTGTTCTTTAAATCTGTGGGGAGCAAGAAAATATCGTGTCAATAAAATATTAATAGAAACATTGTAAAAATAATTATTAAAACTTATACTTTGTTCTTTCCAAGAGAATTAAAATTATAATAAATCAATAGATAAATCGATAAATCGATAGATAAAAATTGATAAAAATTCGATTTGATTTAAACGAATTAAATTAATATACTTATATAGAAAGAGTTAACTTATTAAAGATTATATGTTAAAATGATTGCATATATATATACTTTTGCAGTTTGAATCATTTTTACGTCGTGTAATTTTATCGCTGTGATTAGGAATTATTTCGTCATATATTGGCATTGATATCGGTGTAATAATACCACCTGAATATTCTCGAGGATTTATTAATCTATAGAGAAAAACAAAAAGTTAGTAATGCGTTTTAGAAAAATTATAATAGTTCTTTTAAAATAATAATTATGTATGAAAAAGCAACGCATAATTTTCTCTCTATATAATATTCATATAATTCCCATATAATAATCGTAAAAAATTTATGGGCATACCTCAGTAGTTCTGCAGCATCATCCGAAATTGATTGCAATTTCTTTAATTTCATTAACGCATTCTCCACATCTTGCTTGATATTCTTTTCACGATTAAGATTAGAAATTTTTGCTTTAATAGCATCAATTTCATTTATGAGATCCATCAGCTCTGAACTCCTTTCTACATCTAATAGAATTATTTTCAGTATATATATATAATGCATATTTAAATATCCTTTATACATTCAACAGACCCAGATAGCAAAAAATCTTCAGAGAATGTTCTGGGATGTTCTTAGGATGTATGAATGTCCTTAGAACATCTTTAGAATGTCCTTTGAAGATTTGTGGTGTACGGGAAGTTATGTTTAACTTATTTGATTGATAAAGCTGTCCAGATAAACGTTTTATTCTTTGCTGTGTAGTTTTACCGTCGTTTAAATTATTGTTCTTCCACTTTTTGCAAAGATCAATTTCCGTAATAAAGGGATAATATCTAAAGATGACAGAGAAATTATGTTCCTGCGAGAACTGCCACACCTGATTGCAATATGAATCTTTCAGCGACCACACTTGATTATTTAATTCGATCTAAATTGAAAATAAAAATGTTCGTGCTTAATTAAAAGTGAGATAGACGTTATAGTTTTAACTTGAATATATAATCTTATTAGGGGAAGTACGATATGATTATTTTAATGTTAATAAGATCTTCTATTTAAAAACACTGTATTCTTAATCTAATATTTGTGCTTTCAATAAAAATTATTTTTAAATAATGAAAATATATTTTTTTTCTTTGTTGAATCATATAAAATGAATTGATGCAAATAATTTTTGTTTGGTGCTGTGTGTAGTTTCATTTTAAGATTTAAATATCAAAAATAAAAATATTTTTAGAACAAGAATATTCTCTTTTTCTATGTATATATACTTGTCGTTTAATAATATATAATTAATAGTAATATCAATGTGCAATTATGAAATCTTACTAATTTATTACCAGCTTTTGTTTCTCTTCCTTTAAAATCTTCTCTTTCTCCAGCAAGCTACTTTGGCACATATTCGTTACATCTTTCGTGACACTCAGCTCTATACTTTTAATTCCGTATGTGGTCAAAAGAGAATCAGGAACAATATTATTAGTATCGTTTACAAAGGGAAGCGACATTTTTTAATCGTTTCCTCTTTTCGTCTGATTCGCTATTTCTAAAAGAAGAACGAAAAAAATTTTTAAATATGGAGATTTGCGGTTATTATAAGATATCCCTATATTAAATTTCAATCGAAATCGAACGACTACTGGACAACTTCCGTCGACCAATGAGCATGCGGTTTATTTCAACGAGTCGACGATTGAAAAGTTGTCATTCTGACGAGCGTTTAGTAACTGGACGGGCACACTTAATGGTAAAAGAGCCACAGGCCTGAAACCAAAGAGAAAGAGAGAGAGAGAGGAAGAGAGAAAGAAAGAAAGAAAGAAAGAGAGAGAGAGAGAGAGGACAAGCGCGCCGATAGAGAACGAAATTCTTCTGTATGTAAACAAAGTTTAAAACACGAGATTAAAAGCGTGATTACGATCGATTTTGAAGTTTTTTATGGTATAATTATACAAAGAAACGAACAATGAGCACAAACGGCATAAAATTGTTAAAGAAAACGTGAGTTTATGATTCCTAACCCATTCTTGTAACTTGAGAAACTCTTCATAATCTTGAGATATATATATATATATATATATACATTCAGATTATTATATATATAATGTGGTGATATATATATCTACATCTATATATGTACGATTATAGTGTTCAATTAGCTTAATATATGTGTTATCAGATAAGGCTAATGAAATCACAATGATTTTCCTTCTTTGTTTGTAGACACGCATATCCTCCACAAGGGATGCGTTGCCAAAAGTGTCTGGAGATGGGACACTGGAGTTATGAATGCAAAGGAAAAAGAAAATACTTGCATAGATCCTCTCGTACTGCTCAGTTAAAAAAGGTTATGCAGAAGCAACAGGATAACAAAGAGTATGTACATTGAATTTTTATCAGACTTGATTATCGCAAGATATAAAAGTATTAATGCCTGGACATTCTTTTTATTTTGGTCTTTAAATATGAATATTTAAACTTTTAACATAGAATACGTATACATATACTGAACATACATATGTATATCCTATGTTAAAAGTTTAAATACTTGTATTTAAGTATTGAAACAAAAATGTCCTGGATTAGATATATGTCCAAGCATATTGATACTTTTATCTCGAGTTTGTTTTTGTAAGCTGAGATTATTGTAAGTTTCTTTATATAGTGTTATTTCCTTTTTATTTTCATGGTTTCTATAGACATGTAAATTCAAAAAATTTTCTATAGACATGTAAAGTCAAAAAATTTTGAAAATGATACAAAAATTTGTCTTGGCATTAAAAGTAAAACTATTTATATCTTTATAATAATAGACTTTAGATAATTTTTTGTAAGTTGATTATAGTAAGTTTCTCTATTATTTATATATTATTATATATTCTCTAGTATTATTTTTATTTATTTTTATGGTTTTTGTAGATATATGAATGTAAATAATAAATACAAAAATGTTATAAAAATTGATTTCCTAGCACCAGAAATAAAACATTTTCATACAAAGGTAAAAATTATATAAATGTATCATATTTTCAGACAAGAGCAAAAGGAAGAAATAAATAAAAATCATGTTACGAAGAAAATGAAAAAGGAATCTAGCAGTTCCAGCGACTCGAGTTCTTCCAGCAGTGAGACTAGTGATAGCAGTAGTAGTGAAAGTAGTAGTAGCAGTTCTTCATCAGACAGCGAGTCGGACTCTAGCGACAGTGTATCTAGTAGTAGTAGCAGCAGTAGTAGTAGTGATAGTAATAAATCCACCTAATAGCACGGTAAGAAAATATTCTCTAATATCTTGTTCTGTATTGATAATAGATCATTCCGGGCCGCCGAATAAAGTGACTTAAAAAAAGTATGAAAGCAGAAATGAAGGAAATGTGGAACTCTCGCGAGATTTACTTCACATTGTACAAAGCAATGCATATGATATTTCATCATAACTCAATCTTTCCTTTCATTACATATATACATGTGTATTTAATTAAATATTAATGATTATTAGTGAATATTATTATAATTTGATCACTTAATCATGTCACAGTTTTATTGCATCAAGATTTGCTACTCTAGTTTCTGTTATGTTTAACTTTTTTTTTTTATAAAAATATATACAGTGACATGCATATTTTATGCATATTTTATGTAAGACTATTCTTGTCATTGATATTGCAGGACATCGTGCGTTAATATTATTTTTTTTAAGAATTTTTGATATTGAATGTGACATGAAGATCTGTCACTGATCAATGTAGAGTTAATAGTTAAACATAAGACGATTATTTTTGCTGCGCTACTGTGCGCACATAGTACTTACAATATTGATATAATTGCTTTCTTAAGAATATATTTAACGAGGGTTTCACATGTAACAATAATATAGAAGGATCAAAGGATGTCATCAAAGGATCAAAAAATTTAGGAGTATGCAGTACTCGCTAAGATAAACAAAAATGTTAAGTTTAAAAGATCTTTTAAACATAAAAGCGATGTTTAGTTCTGATATGTGCACAATTACATGAGTCTAAATATATTTTTATAGAAATCGATTCTCCTAGTCATTTTGTAAACACTTTCCCACACAACGTGGTGGGAGACTCGTTCAAAAGATGCCCTACTTTTTTTAGGTGTCTTTTGAACTTCTTTAAGACGTCTTCGAGACATGCATGGTGTGTGGGTTGTTTCTCTATGTATTTCTGTTCCTAAATTTCTCGATCCTTAATTTGTTATAATTGTATAATAATAAGATTGGTATACAGTGTGTTAATTAGGCTTTTGTCAGACAATTAACGATATAAAAATTTTACATTGGAGGATATAAAAAATTATACTATTTTGTTACACAATTTAAATACATATGCAAAAATATAATGTCACTTTTCTCGGATCAATCTTCAATATCTTCGGGCAGAGTCTGTACTATCACTTTTCTTCTTGGTTCGAAAGTGAAATTGTTTGTCTTGAATATGTCACTTTCGTAAAATGGATGTAGATTGTGTATGTCGATCTGCTTAGCCTGAAAATACAAAATTTATTATTGATAACGTGAAACGCGACATATGAATATCGTGCTAATGTAAAACGGATAAAAAACGAGTTTCTACACAGACTCAAAAAAGATGGACGAAAGTATTGTGGAAACTTCACGCATCGAAACATATTAAAATAAGATGAAAGTCTTGTGTATTTGATGTTAAGAAAATTGACCGATTCTCTCTCTCAATGCGTCATTTTTAACCAATTTGTAATTGATAGTAATACTGCGTTATAATGCATGTAATTTTCATGCCAAATTTAACGCGATTTATTTTATTACCCGCTCTAATAGATCTTTTTCTGAAATTTCAATAGTTGCGATACGTCCGCCGTGCAAAGCCTTTTGAAACGCCAAAGTGTCCAAAGTGATTTGTCGTAGTATGTAATACAGGAGTTCGCTGTGATCTTTCTTGTATGACAGATACTTCTGGAACGTCTGTAACAATATGTACATTCGGAGATTAATTAGTGTTGTGAAATAAAAAGTGGATTAAGGGTGCAAGTGAGAAAGTATATGTGGACATACCTGGCGCATAGATTTCATTACAGAATATTTTTGTGTATCGACAAAACTATCGAGGGCCATTCTGATGGCGAGATTCATGTCGCTTTCCTGTACGTGATCTCTTAAATGCATCTTCGCGCTAGCTTCTGCCATACGAATAATGCTTTCTATATGGCGAACGGTGATTGGCAAACTCCCAGTCGCCTGTAATGAAATAACGATGTAGTAGTTTTTAACTCGACGTATAAATTTTGCCGTACCTTCTCAAGAATATTCGCCAAGTAGCATTCTTATTTAAAAGTTTCTCTTAATTTTTTATTTTGGAAATTGAATATTGCTTTAATAAGGGGATATCAGATGGTTGTATATAAATGTTTCGAAAATTCGATTTGAAAAATGGTTTCAGTAAGAAAAAATTAAAACTTCATTATAAAAATTATAAAATTTATAAAGAAATAATTTTTTTCGAGATAAAGTAAATTATTACTAGATAGTTTTAAAAGCGCTTCACATTAAATGACGAATGTAAAGAGACCAATAAGAAAATATTTTTGTTTTTTATAACATTATATACTGTATTCTTAAGAATATTGAAGAGATAATAATGATGTATCATAGTACTTTTTATCGCTTAATCGATGTTTAATATCCTCTTCTTTTAAAAATGCCCATTATTCGAGAACGAGATTTTCTTAACAACTTACCAAGCTCTCTTGTCTCAGTTGACTGTACAATTTCGCTACTTTGTCCTGATCAATGTTGGTCAGCTTGGGATGTACATTCTGTTTGGCGTAAACGATATACTTTTTGAGAAGATCTTGCGGAATGGATAAACTCTGTATAACGGGATCCAACTCTATGGCTTGTGTTCTTTCTGTGCTCGTGGGATGATGCTTGATGTGCGAATTGACAACGAATTTGGCCAGATGACGGTCCTGCATAGGATCGATCTCGTCCTTGACTATGCATAGCGCGTCAAATCGCGAAAGAATCGGTTCCGATAGGTCCACCTGCGTAACAATATAATATGTGATATTTATGTATACATATCTACATATTTACATAACTTTATAATTTTGTAATGACATCTTATATCTTCTGATTATTTTCTCTAATGTTTCGGTCTGATAATTTCATACGTCACAATTTCGAGAAGACGCTCAAAGACTAAATCGTTTCACGGGTTCGTACATTTTCTGAAAAGGTCATGCTAGGGTCGTATCGACCGCCGATAGGATTAGACGCCGCTATCACTGCGCATCTGGCGTGGAGAGATGTGACGATACCGGCCTTGGAAATAGAAATACTCTGCTGCTCCATAGCTTCATGGATGGACGTTCTGTCTTGATCGTTCATCTGGAAAAAGATGGAAACTGTAGCGTGTCTCTGACGACAAAAGTATTCTCGTTAGAATCAGTCATGATGTAAATTAAGATTTATATATAGATATAAATATTAATATCACACTCATATAACATAGATATTGACATAAGAGCTGTGTGTGAGAGTTCTAATAAAAATAATAATATAATTGGGACAACTAATAATAATGCTGTTACCAATAATTTATTACTAACTTTAATTACCGATAATAATCATGACTAAATTACTTATAATATTTACGGCGAGAGATTGTTATAGTGTACACTTTTTTTATATATTAATAGTTAAATATAAATTATATACTTTGTCGAACTCATCAATGAGACATATTCCATGGTCGGCAAGGACTAAAGCTCCAGCTTCTATAGTCCACTCTCTGGTGGTAGGCGATCTCCTCACGTAAGCGGTCAGACCGACGGCCGAGGCCCCCTGACCGGTGGTAAACACTACCCTGGGTGCTACCTTCTCCACATATTTCAAAAACTGCGACTTGGCAGTGCCGGGGTCGCCGCATAGCAAGACATTTATGTCGCCTCGAACCTTATGCTTGTTACCTATATGCCCATATTTGATATAACACAAATATAAAGAGAGGGAGAGAGAGAGGATGCGTAAATTCATAAAATAACTTGATGAAAAAGTACCAGGATTTTTCGGCTCGCCGCCAAATATCGATAACGCCAAGGCTCTCTTGATATTCTCATGGCCGTAAATTGAAGGTGCGACACTCGCAACAATGCGATCGGCAATGCGTTGATCCTTGCTCAAAGCGAGTATATTCGAGATATCTTCTTCTGTTAGCGAATCCACGATCTCCTTCGAATCTTTGACGAATAAGTGGTTAGCTAATAATACTGTGGAAAATACTGGGAAGCCCTATTGTGCAAAGTAAAATAAATTAGAAAATTTTTGTCTGATTTATATGCCTGAAAATAAGATTTATTTTGCAAGCACATGCATAGATACGAAATAAATTAATAACACACATAATGCACAAAATAGATTAATAACACTTCGAGAAATGTAATAATTTCACAGTTATAAATATTTAATCGATTTAACGTGTTAAAAAGCTTACTTGTTCGGTGTTTAAAGAACCATCGTAATTATTGGTGTAAATAGCGGTAACGTCTATTTCATCTCCTGGTTTGCAACGATCGCAGAGATCGGATAATAGAATACAGTCCTTACTGCGAGGTATTCTACCAGCTGGTATTCTACCTGGAGACTCCTGTATTGTAATCTTCTGGTAGTTCCTGTATATCGTTTTTTCCATATTGACCTAAAACACAATACATTTATATATAGATATAAAATATAATTTTTATAAGATAATAAAAATTCAGAGAATAAAGAACCTTTCAAATAATAGAATAGCAGTGCAAAAGTTAACCGACTTGTTTAAAGCTCGACTCACCATGAACGGACCAATGCTCTGACACTCGGGACACGAGCCTGGCTTGACTTCCGTGTTCTGGGATTGAACGAAAGGTCCGAGGATATAACCGCACTTTGTACAATCATATTTCACCACTGATAATTGCGGCAAAACTCCCGTTGTAGCCGTGACGACTCCAAGAGTGCGGACCAATTGATTCAAATGGAGTTTCCTATTATGTAAAATTAAAATTACACGTTATGTACGCGCATTATACACTGGATGTGTACATATATATTCTTGAGATTCAAGTAAAATAAAATAAATAAAATAATATATTACATAGGTGGAATTAGTATATATCACAGAGTTAATTGCGGATTTTTACCTGAACGTGCGTAACTCCTCTATCAACGGCAACTCCGATATTCTCACGTGAATTTCCGACGTGACTCTTTCGTAACTAGGAAAAATCGTTAGTACCAGTTCTTTCGCCACTTCATCAAATATCTCAAGCATTTGAAATGGCGCCTCTGGTAAGAAATAGGCCAAAACATGTTCCTTACTGGCGAGAATGGGAAATTCCACTACGAAACTCGCCTATGGAAGTAAAGAAGCTACATAAGATATTAGATAAAAAAAATAAAATGTCTCGGGACGATAATGGTCATTTTATTTTCAAAAAAATAAATTTCATGCATATAAATATGGATATAAGTACAAAATATACATTTTGCTTATTTCCATACCATAGAATATGTTAATAATATAAGTATTACGAGAAAATTATACTAGTAGTTTTGATTCCAAGGTATATATGATAATTAAAATAAATGAATAAAAATTATATTTTAAAGCAAAGTTTCCTTATCAGAATTGTGTAATATGATTCAATACTAAACCTGATTACTTTCGCACATGTGGCGAATACGTTCTTTATACATGTACTGTCCCTTCGAGTTTGTATGGGTGCGAAGAAAACTCTTGAAACGATTCGAAATTTCCGTTCGTGGTCCTAACATCATGACCCATTCTTTTACCGAATGCCCTTTTGTATCCTCTAAGTTTTCAATGGATTCGATCATCTAATATAATAAGAAAAATTTATTATTACCTTTTGAGAATGTTTTTATGCAAAGTTATACTTTTATGAAAAGATTATTACTTCAGCATCTTCTAATACACCCGTAGCAGCCTTTTCAGCCATACGTCGCTTGCGTGCCTGTACTTCTTCTTCATCAGTTTCATCTAAAAGTATAAAATAAAATGTTTTCAAAATATACTCAATTATTACAAATACATTTGCTTAATTTTTATACAGATTATATTATATAAAATTGTTATTTACTTAATAATATACTTAATACTACTTAATATTTTATATAATAATTCTTTTGATATAATAATAATATAATTGTTTTGTTTTCAAAAAGAATATAGTAAAAAATTACCATAAAGCAAATCGCGATCATCTCTTATGATGCCTGCTGCACGATCTCTTTTTCGCATTTCAGTTTCAGCAGCTATACGTTCTCCCTGAGATATGTCTGAATATTCTTCTTCATCAAGGAGATTGGGATCATATCTGTCCAATGCTGACATAGGCCGATAATCACTATTGAAACAAAATTATATTTTAATGTTGAATCCCCAATCTTCATTTTCATTACCATACATAGGATTATAAATATTGTTAAAACATTATTAGTAAAGTATTTTTTTTGTTAAAATTATTTTTAAATAATGTATATCATTCTTTAATATTTACTTAAATAACAAATACTGAATATTTTAATAAATTATATGATTGATATAATTTATTATATCAATTTATATATTACTTTATTGATTTATACATTACTTATAAATTATTATATTCTATACATATATATATATATATATATATATATATATATATATATATATATATAT